GCAATGACAGGGGTGGCCGAAGAGGTTGGCCACTATCCACAGAATGGATATCCACTTAATTGTTAAAGTCCTCTTCTTCTGACCACAATTTCGTGAGTATTTACATGAGAAACAAATATTTTACAACTTTTGCCCATATGGAGAGGTCTACGCACAAACCTCTTCCCCAAATATCTTTGTCACCAATTTTCCACTTATGTTCCTTCCAAGTTCCTGACCTTCTGGCCAGACCATTGGCTATAGCCCATGAAACTGTATAAAGTCACACATTTGGCCATTTCTCCTTCCAGGCAAAATGTTCTACCAGGTACACTGCCTGAAACTGCTCACTCTGACAATTTCCCTGCACCACTGTCCTTCAAAGATATCCTGGAAAGGGGCTGTAATGCTGCAGCTGTCCACTTGTGGGTAGTGCCTGTATAATGTGCAGAGCCATCCATACACCAGGACCTAGGCTTTCCTTCTCCTGACAGCTGATCATGTGGTACACCCCATGAGGCCATAGGTGCATGCTGGGAAACAGAAGGCAATGTAGCTGGCATAGCAGGCATAGATATCTAGGCAACTTCCTCATGTAATTTACTTGTGCCATCTAGATCTGCTCTGGCTCTATCACATATATACCATTTCCATTTAATAATAGACTGTTGTAGTGCATGTCCAACCTTATGACTCAGTGGATCAGATAATACTCAGCTCATGATAGGCAACTTAGATTGCATGGTGACCTGGTGTCCCATGGTCAAGCATTCAGTTTCCACCAAGGACCAGTGGCAGGCCAAGAGCTGTTTTTCAAAGGGATAGTTGTTTGCAGACAATGGCAGAGCCTTGCTCCAAAATCCTAAAAACCTCTACTGCAATTCACCTAGGAGGTGGCCTGCTAGAGACTTCAAATAGCATCTCTATCTGCCACTTGATACTTCAAGTATCACTGGATGTACTGGATTACATGGCCCCAGTGGCAGAGCAGGCTGCAGAGCAGCCTGGACCTGATGCAGAGCCTTTTCTTGTGCTGGGACCCACTCAAAACTAGCAGCCGAGTCACTCGGTAAATGAGGTGGACTAAGATACCTACATGAGGAATGTGTCACCTTCAAAATTCAAATAAGCCCACTATGCACTGTGCCTTTTTGGTTGTAAAGGGAGGCAGATGCAACAACTTTTCTTTCACCTTAGAGGGGACATCTCTACATGCCCCACACCACTGGACTACAAGTTTCACTGAGGTAAAAGGACTTTAAATTTTGTGGATTCATTTGCCATCCTCTTACTCTCAAATGCTTTACTAAGAAGTCCAGAGTAGTTGCTACCTCCTTGTCATTTGGCCCAATCAATATCATCATCAATGTAATGGACCACTGTGATACCCTGTGGGAGAGAAAGGTGATCAAGATCCCTACAAATTAAGTTGTGACACAGGGTTAGAGAGTTAATATAACCTAGAGGTAGGACAGTGAATGTGTATTGCAAGCCTTATCAGTTGAAAGCCAATTATTTCTGATGGTCCTTATGGATAGGAATGGAAAAGAAGGCATTTGTCAAATCAACAGGTGCATACAAAGTACTAGGAGATGTGTTAATCTGCTCAAGGAAACCAGATCTGGTACCACAGCTGCAATCAGAATTGCAACTTGATTTAGTTTACGATAACCTACTGTCATCCTCAAAGACCCATCCATCTTTTGCACAGGCCAAATGGGAGAAATAAATGGAGATGTGGTAGAGACCACCACCCCAGCATCCTTCAAGTCCTCAACGGTGGCACTAATCTCTGCAATCCCTCCAGGAATGTGATACTACTTTTTACTATTTTACCAGGCAAAGGCAACTCTAATGGCTTCCACTTGACCTTCCCAACTGTAATAGCCCTCATACTATAGGTTAGGGAACCAATGTGAGGATTCTGCCAAATACTAAGTATATCTATCCTGATTAGGGGAAATGACTATAGGATTGATTTGAGGACCTCAAATTGGACTTTTGCCAAAATGCCATTGATCACCTGACCTCCACAGGCCCCCTACTTTTACTGCAGGGCCATGACAACGTTTTGGATCCCTTGGAATAGTGTTAGTTCAGAACCAGTGTCCAGTAGTTCCCAAAATGTCTGATCATTTCTCTTCCCACAATGCACAGTTACTACAGCAAAAGACCTTAGGTCACTCTAGGGAAGGATGGAAGAAAGAGTGACTGTATAAATTTTTGGTACTTCACAATCCTTTCCCAAAGGGACCTGGTCTAATCTTCATTCAAGGGTTTCTGGATCTGTAAACTGTCTCAAGGCTAAGAACTGGTTGGGGGTCCTGATTTCGTTACCATGACTTAAAGTTGGTTTGCATTCATTTTCCCTTGAATTTTTTTACTCCCGCAACCCCCACCCCGTATGGGGAATCAAACTCAGGACCTTGCACTTTCAACACAAGCATGGCACCACTGGCTAAATCCCTGGCCCTTCAAGTTGATTATATAAATCTAGTAAAAATTTTTGTAGACTGCCCATCTATTTTACTTTTGGGAACAGCACAGCTAATCAGCCAATGCCATACATCTACATGTGTCAGATTACTCCGGTCATGTTCTGCTTCTGCAGTCCAGTATGGTAAGTACATGCACCCTGCCTTCAGCAATTAAGTGCTGCCACATGGCTGCTGCCACTCTGGGATCCAGTCAAACTCATTGCCCTTAAATTTCCCAATTGAGTAACTGCAGTTTCCACTGTAAGTTCTGGAATACAGAGAACAATGAGCAGGCTCTTCAGGAATGCTGGTGCTCCTCTCACTGATCTATTCTCAAGGTTTTAGAGAGGGGTATATTTTCTGGATCATCCCAGTGTGGAGGATTAGTATGACAGATCCATGTCAGCATTCCCATTTCCCTAAGCCTCTGAATCCCATCACCATGCAATTGTCAAGCATCTCTAACTCATGCACAGTGGGCCACCTTATGATCCATACTTCTGCCAAACAGCCAAATAAACTAACATGTTTATTCCGATTATTAAATCAGAATCCCTGCTTACTGGGCCCATATCAACAAACTCACCCTGACCCAGTTGTGTATTTTTGCCACCATTATCCCACACCCATAAAATCCAATCCCACACTTCCTCATCAGACCTCTGCTTATAAAAGTTAGAAAGCTCAAGTTCTTTGGGAGAATAGTGGACCTCCTCATGGCCCACACTATGTACCTGATCCTTAGGAACCTTCTGCAATTTGAACCTGGTTATAGGCCTAGAGGCAAAAAGTGGGCGGTGAGGGTAGGCCCTAAGGAGTGTCAGGTTATTATGCTCCATCAACGCAAGATTGGTTTCCTCTGGTATACTAGAAGAGGCCAACACCACAGGGTGTAGATGGAGATGCCTCTGCCACTGCTAGTGGGGAAATTTCCTCTGGCAAAATAATCTCAGCAGAAACTCAACATCCTCAGCTTCATCAGGATCCTCCCAAACACCTCCATCTCAGTTTATGGGATTCCATTCTTTTCCAATCAGTGCCTTCACCTTTGCTTTAGAGACCCTTTGAGGCTGAGTAGTAAGCTTATATTGTAGTTCAGCCAAATGAACTATGAGGGCCTCTGTTTGGGTTTCTGCAATCTTGGCCCTGCAGCTAAAAGACATTTTCCTTCAAGATACACTTAGAAGCTTCTAAATATATGTGTGTCTGGAGCTGGAAATTTGAATCTTTTGTCCAGAGAGGTAAAGATCAACCAGCCAGCATCTTTAATTTCTCACTCTTCTAAAAATATTCAAAATTTTAATGTATGGAGTCACTAAATTCCTTATATTTCACAAATGGTGAATTAGAATAATCAAATGGATGTACCCTGCAAATTACTTTAAAACAGTTCATGCCAAAGATTATCAGTATTCACCAGAGTAGTAGACAGAGACCACAGTGTCTTTAGGTCTCATCAAATTAGAGAGCCAACTCCATGAACCCCTACAGCCATTAAAGAATTTCATCTTTACAACTGTTTCACTAGAGCCATCCCTGGTATTAAAATCTGTATCAGTCAGTATTTACAAGATATACAAATATATATGAATTTACAAGATTGGCTTACAATGGCCACCCACAGTTGGAAAGGAAGAGTCCACAGGTTCTACCTTCACACTGGAGACTGAAGAATTTAACCAAAGGTCTGGAGCTCACTGCAGTTCCCCATCACAGTCCATATCAAGGGTTGATGAGTCTGTGCTGAAAGGCTGAAGAACCTGCACCGGAAGCTGAAGAGTCTGCACTGGAAGCCAGGAGATGACATGCAAGGTGAAGGTGAAGACTGGAGTTCCTCGAGCAACGAGCCAATTCATCCTTCCTCAATGGGATAATCAGCCACCTCAGTGGGTCTTCCACGTCCTAGGGCGTGGAATGGCTGAGCAATTTATTTAAGCTTCTCTTAACCAAACTTCTCAAATTGATACAATCAACCATCACACTTGGCAATTTTTTTTTTAACTTTTTTTTTTTTTTT